CCTATCAATTCCCTTCAGAATCTTGAATGTGGTGATCATGTCCCCCCTAACTCTTCTGTCTTCCAGCGAAGTGAGGTTTAATTCCCGTAGTCTCTCCTCGTAGCTCATACCTCTCAGCTCGGGTACTAGTCTGGTGGCAAATCTTTGAACCTTTTCCAGTTTAGTCTTATCCTTGACTAGATATGGACTCCATGTGTGTGTGTGTGTATGTGTGTCTATGTGTGTGTGTGTGTGTGTGTGTGTGTGTGTGTGTGTGTGTGTGTGTGTGTGTGTGTGGTGTGTGTGTGTGTGTGTGTGTGTGTGTGCTCTCACACGTGCGGTGAAGAGTAACAACATCATCACCCCATCACAACACTGACCGTGAAGCTCTCAAGTCATGTCTTCGTTTGTGTTTGCAACTTGGATACGATGCAAAGTGAATTGTAGACATAAAGGGTATATTAACGCAAGTTATATTTGGGGGGATTGTATGCTGAGAGGAGCATATACACTGAGAAGTTACTTTTGTCCTAGACTATGTTCAGGAGTATAGTATACTTGCTGGTTGGTCAGTAAGCTGTGGTGGCCTTAATAACCCTCCAGGGGTTGACAGGCCTTAAGTCCAAAACAAAGTGTAGAAGCATCAGTCTTTATGCCATACTCGCACTCACACAGTCTCACCGTGAAGGCATCAGTTCTTATGTTCAACACACACATACACACACACACCGTCGAGGTAGTTCATATACCTTACTCTCACCCACCTACACAAACTCTAAATATGCTCCCTAACTCACTACTGTATCACACAGCAGCTACATTTGTTCTTGTTCTTAACAGAAGCGTTTGCGGGCGTGGCGGAGGCTTCTGGCGGCGCCGCTGCCGAAGGCGGGAGTTTGTGAGGGCCGCCATCTGTCGGAGACCCGAGGGACTCCTCCGCATCGTCCACGTCAAGTAAGGATGATAGGGTGAGATCCATGAGTATCTGATCCATCAGCATCTGATCTGCCTCCCCTTCAAGTGGCCTGATGGCTTCGATGAGCAGGTCGATCTCATCGTCCTCATCGTCGTGCTGCGAGGGGTCGTGGCGTCCGTGGTCAGTGGCTAGTGGGAGGTCGTTGACATCGTCGTGCTGCGAGGGGTCGTGGCGTCCGTGGTCAGTGGCTAGTGGGTCGTTGTTGACATCGTCGTGCTGCGAGGGGTCGTAGCGTCCGTGGTCAGTGGCTAGTGGGAGGTCGTTGACAGGTCCTTCCTTGGTGTCCGGGCCGTGGTCCTGGGGGAGGTAGTTTCTATACTGCACCAGCCTTTGGTCTACCACCCATGCTTCCAACTTAATAACAATCGAGATTGTCCACAAGAAAGTAATACAAGTTGTATGTTTAAAGAAGACTCAATCTAACTCTCTCCTGTTTCCTAACGCAATGAAGAACATTATGCTTTCCTTTGTTAATAAGTGATTGAATAGCCTAATATATTCACCAATACCATTCTTTAGGAAAGAGCAAAACCTCAAATTCAGACCAATCACACACACACACACACACACACACACACACACACACACACACCACACACCACACACACACACACACACACACACACACACACACACACACACACACACACACACACACACACACACACACTACAGCATCTCAGATTTGAAAGCACTTCACTACAGATATGCACTAACAGTTACGTTGTTCAAAGTCAGAAGCAATATCACAATACAGACCGAATGTCTAATTAAAACATTCTTTTAAACATTAGCGTTTACGCAGACGATGATTCACAATAACGTGGCTGAAGATATGTTGACCAAATCACGTCAGAAGATGGAGAGACGATACGACGTTTCGGTCCGCCTTGAGAATGGTCCAAGACGGACCGAAACGTCGTGGTTTCTCCATCTTCTGATGTGTGGTCTGGTCATCGGTGTTTATTTTACGTTTATCATAGGATGAGAAACGTAAAATATAGTCTTTCTCATCCGTCGCTCTCCTCTCCCTCTTCCCCTCTCTTAAGCTCTCTCTCTCTCCTCATCTCTCCCCTCTTCCTCAACTCCTCTCACCTCTCCCCAACTTCCCCCTCGCTACCCTCCCCCTCTTCACTTGAGAGAGAGAGAGAGAGAGAGAGAGAGAGAGAGAGAGAGAGAGAGAGAGAGAGAGAGAGAGAGAGAGAGAGAGAGAGAGAGAGAGAGAGAGAGAGAGAGAGAGAGAGAGAGAGAGAGAGAGAGAGAGAGAGAGAGAGAGAGAGAGAGAGAGAGAGAGAGAGAGAGAGAGAGAGAGAGAGAGAGAGAGAGAGAGAGAGAGAGAGAAGCGGTTTAGCATCATCTTGGATAAGAGACAAGAATGTTGGTCCCGCGTTCAACTCCTTCCTGTTGCGTCTCTTTCTTACAGGTCCTTGTTTGCTGTCTTTGTTGCTGTTGTTGTTGTTGATTCTGTCTTTGTTTTTGCTGTTGTTGTTGATTCTGGCACTGTTTTTGTTGCTGTTGTTGATTCTGGCACTGTTTTTGTTGCTGTTGTTGATTCTGGCACTGTTTTTGTTGCTGTTGTTGATTCTGGCACTGTTTTTGTTGTTGTTGTTGATTCTGGCACTGTTTTTGTTGCTGTTGTTGATTCTGTCTGTTTTGTTGTTGTTGTTAATTTGTTGCATATAGTTAGTTCTTTTTTTGTTCATTTTTAGTTCTAAAATTTTGCAAAAAAGAACAATAAAGAAAATAAGAGAATACAAAATAAATTGTAACGATGTTATGACCACGTATTTCCGACAAAAACAATTCCCCGTTTTTCGACTTGTTTGTTCACCTGCTCCATCACACAGGTGTGTTTGTTCACCTGCTCCATCACACAGGTGTGTTTGTTCACCTGCTCCATCACACAGGTGTGTTTGTTCACCTGCTCCATCACACAGGTGTGTTTGTTCACCTGCTCCATCACACAGGTGTGTTTGTTCACCTGCTCCATCACACAGGTGTGTTGTTCACCTGCTCCATCACACAGGTGTGTTTGTTCACCTGCTCCATCACACAGGTGTGTTTGTCCACCTGCTCCATCACACAGGTGTGTTTGTTCACCTGCTCCATCACACAGGTGTGTTTGTTCACCTGCTCCATCACACAGGTGTGTTTGTTCACCTGCTCCATCACACAGGTGTGTTTGTTCACCTGCTCCATCACACAGGTGTGTTTGTTTGGTGTTATATCATGTTCTTGTTTGTGAACACCGGTGGATGTGTTTGTTTTAAACAACGGTGTGTAGAGTGTGTTATGGTCAGTGTGTTGAGTAGTGAGTATTGTTGTGTGTAGTGTGTTGTGTAGTGTGTGTGTGTTGTGTAGTGTGTGTGTAGTAGTGTGTGTGTTGTTGTGTAGTGTGTTGTTAGTGTGTGTGTGTGTGTGTGTGTGTGTGTAGTGTGTTGTGTAGTGTGTGTATGTGTTGTGTAGTGTGTGTGTTGTTGTGTAGTGTGTGGTGTAGTGTGTAGTGTGTTGTGTAGTGTAGTGTGTTGTGTAGTGTGTGTGTTGTTGTGTAGTGTGTTGTGTAGTGTGTGTGATGTAGTGTAGTGTGTTGTGTAGTGTGTGTGTTGTTGTGTAGTGTGTGTGTAGTGTGTGTAGTGTGTGTAGTGTGTGTAGTGTGTTGTGTGTAGTGTGTGTGTTGTTGTGTAGTGTGTGTTTGTTGTGTAGTGTGTGTGTAGTGTGTGTGTTGTGTAGTGTGTTGTGTAGTGTGTTGTGTAGTGTGTTGTGTAGTGTGTGTGTTGTTGTGTAGTGTGTTGTGTAG